AGAGCCAGAGGTGAAGAGCTACAACTCCCATCATCCCTGACAGAATTACCTTTCCGGTGCTTTTGCCGGAGTTAGCGTTGGTTCTGCTGGAGTGACGCCGGATTTAGGGCTCTGTGCGTTTGAACACACGGAGCGAAAAGCCGGACTGACGCAGGGATGGCACCGGAAGGGGTGGGGTTTGCTGCCGCGCGCGTGTGAACACACGGGAAAAGGAGCCGGAGTGGGGCCGGACGGAGGTAGGATTGCCTCCTCAAAAAGCCCCGTGTGAAAACGTCCTTGGTCCCACCACCATCCCAGGCTCACTTGGTGAGGACACAAGAGAGAGCCTTCTCAATGGCTGCTCCAAACTCTGGAACTCCCTTCCACAGGAGGCTAGGCTGCCCCCCTCTTTGCTCTCCTTTCATCTGCAGGCAAAGACATTTTTGTTTAAGCAGGCATTTAATGGTTAAGCAGATAAGGTTTTTTATTTGTGTTTTATTTGTTTTTAACTTTTGTATGGCTTTTAAATGATTTTATAGTGTTTAATGTGGGGATTTTAAAATGTTTTTAAAAGAATTATTGTAAACATTTTTAATCTGCTGTTTTTGGAAGCCGTAGGTCCCATTTGGGAGGAAGGCAGTATATAAATGTTGCAAATAAATAAATAATAAAATAAGAGAGCCCTCTTGGTTCACTAGAGAGCTGGTGGTGATGAAACACGTGGGATGCAAACTAGAGCTATGATGGTAGAAGGCTTGGAGTGAGTTTGACCAAACATAGGCTAGAACTCCCTGGAAGGTCTATGCTGTGGAGATGTGACAAAACTGCCAGACCTTTAGGATCTGCGGAGGAAGGCTTTCTTTGTCCCTCCACCATCATAGGCTTGTTCGAGAGATAGCCTTTTCCATGGCTGCTCCCACCCTCTAGAACAGGGGTCGGCAACCTACGGCCCTCGGGCCGGTTCCGGCCCAGGTCACCGGACTTACTGGCCCAGGTGGACCCCTGCCGCCGCCACCCGGTTTGGTTGCCGCATGGCTGCGCGTGTTGCGACTGCCATTTTATTCTCCAAAATGGCGGCCACAATGTGTTTGCGCATGCGCAGGATTACTGCACATGCACAAATGCGTCGCGGCCGCCATTTTGGAGAACAAAATGGCGGCCGTGGCGTCAGCAGTGTGTGCAG